TGTGTATAATTGTTGCTGTTTGAGGTACTTTGGATTAGCATCATACTGGATTCAGTGAGAATTGTAACGGCGAACGAATGACCGAGCTAAATCGAACTTTGTTTGTACTGACATATACAGAAACTTACCTCTGGACTGGTTTCCATACTACCTTGAAGAAAGATCCGGCTTTTTTCAATGCCTTTCTATCTCTAATAGCACATCCAATGGTATATCCAATAGAATAGCCAATATTATATCCAAAACTATTCTCCGTGCTATCCTCTTGCTTTCTGAAGTCTTTATTCACTTCGATCTTTGTTGGAGGAACCATAACGTTATTATTTAATCCATGCTCCTCCTTATCTTCAACCAATCGCCCACTAAAAGTGGAAAGAAAGAATTTACAATGCAATAAATACTTGTAAAATTAATAGAGAAATTATAATACATTACTTGGCAAACATTTTATCTAACCTTTCGCAAAATTTTCCATTATATAAGCAAATTATCGCTTAGAAATTCTCGGTATTAAAGTTATTAGTATTTTGTGGACATGCGGGCCACTCCTAATTCTGAACTCATTACTGTATGTAACTCTTCTCTCTGAGATTTTTCGGATTAGTGCCAATCTCAGAGGAGAACAATGGTGCTCTATCGAACTTTGATTATATGTAGAGGAGGTACTGTACGTGTCGCTTAACTATGGATCCAATAACATCACGACAGAGATCCATAGTTTTTAATGGAGCCGAAGAATACGTAGCCGCCTGTATCTTTTCTACGTGTAGATAGGTATATATATATATATATATATAATTATCATCATTGTGTTACACATATGGAATGACTATATATTCATCGCCGAAACAAGGAGAATTTTGAAGAATGAGAGAAAAACGTGTCTAAGAATGATTAAACTTAATTTTAAAAATCCAGCAACGAGTTGCTTAACTTTCCCGGCAACATTTGGTGGCTTCATCTGTTATGATATTTTATTAAAAACTTTTTATATTTTTAACTATTGTGAAATTGTAAAAAGCTTAATTTTGGTAGGAATTTTGAGGGTAGGAATGGGTTTTATGAAATATTTGTAAATGCTAACAAAAAGTAAAATTGTCATTAGGTCTGACCCTACTCGAAATAAGACACATGATTCCTTTTATCTCCCCAACCCTCGACCTTTAACAACCAACATTTAATAGCATCGATCTTCCTAATACACAATTTAAATTAAATTTAATTAATTACCATTTGCACCGAGCAATTTCTTTTTAAAGCCATTACTTTTTCGAATGACTTTCTTATTTGCACAAATATCAATAAAATGTGAAAAATTTCTTACCCCAAGGGTGAAGGCAAGGGTCGATAATCGCTAGAATCAAAAAACATTTTTCAATCNACGTAAAAATTCTCTAATTAGTCTGGAAACGGGGGACCTAATTCTTGCATTCTGTGAAAACGGGTAAGATCGGCTATAATGTAATTATCTTAATCTTCACTATCGTTACTTTTTGCCCAGCGAAGCGGGTTTTTGCAGCTAGATTCTAGATTACTTAGAAAAACAGTCTTTTATATATAAAAAAAACTATATTACATACAAATAAAAAAAACCCAGCGAAGCGGGTCTTAGCAGCTAGTATCACATATGATCGTTAATAACGTTTTTAAATTTCTGCCCCTTTTGGCCCCCACAATAGGACATCGAGTTTTAATGTGTGTAATGTAAATGAATAATCTTATACAGTATAGATGTTTTATTGATTTAACAATTATTTAAAATAAATTACGCTAAGTATTTTTCAGAAAAAGAAAACTTAGCTCCGTGGATAAAGTGCTCCGCTCGATAAGCTTAACAACACTAAAATGACATTACTCTGTATCTTTTGCTTTATAAAAAAAATTGAAAATATATCAGCTGGTCGTATTTAAACAGATATACTGCATAAAGAGAAAATTATGTAGAAAACTTGCATACACAAATGCAATATAACAATTTTTATTTGAAACATTCAAAAAATTAACTCAATTTAAAACTGTAAATAAATCTTAAAAATTATTGATATTTTACTTTAATTTATTCAATCTGGTTGATAATAATAGTTGATATGCTAGTATTCTGCAAGCAATTTTAAATGTTCTGCAACATTAATTAATTAACTGGTAGATATAACGGGCAATTGGAAAAAATTCGAAGGATAAGCATTTTGTGTTAGTTGCCATTTTCCACGGAGAATCCCAACTCTTTTACCCTCAATTATATGCACATTATTCTTAATCAAAAATCTTTCATCAAAATGCAAGTCACATATTCGCGATTTTCTTGTCAGTTGTAAATCTGTTCGGAGAATTATACGTTTCCACTTATCTAACTGGATCGGAAGTAGTGTAAAATATGCTACTTTTCATCATATTTGCAGTAGCCAGACATACAATCACAAAACACTTATGCTGTGTACACACTTCGAACATTAAGGCGAAGAGTTCGAATAAAGCGAACATATGCGCATGCGCTCCCAGTGTCAACTTTGAATACGATGGAGCACTAAATATCGTTGAGAACTTTAGAAGGGTTAAAAAATAGGTTCGATTTTCCGCAAAAATTCAAAGAAATGGCATCTAAAATAGCACAGAATTTCCGAAACTCCCTTCTTAATGTGCATTTTCCCAATTAAAACGCAGCCAAAAACGCAAAAAATCGCATCTAAACTAGTACTAGAGAAGACGAGTTCTTCAAGGTAATCCTTAACTTTCTACCTCTTCCCCGCGGGGGAATTTCCAAAAATTTTTTATTAGGATGCATTCTCATGGTGTTTCTCACTAAAGCGCAGTTAAAAAATCGCATCTAAAAGAGTACAGTAGAAGCTGCGGTTTTTTGGATAAGCCTTAATTTTCTCCTCTTCCCGTGCGAGGGGAAATGTGGAAAAATACCTTCTTAGTGTACATTCTCGTCACGTACTCTAACTGTGTACCAAATTTCAGCTTTCAACTCCTAACCGATTGGGCTCTACGCTTATTATTATTATCAACCCATCTCGCTTATAACTTATTATAAGATTAAATAAGATACGCGAAAACATTACTCAAAATTTAAACATTAAAGATTACATATTTGATTATCGAAAAAATATAAATAATCAAGCATAATTTATCATTTGGAACAGTGAATGTAGTGTTACACATATGGAATGACTATATATTCATCGCCGAAACAAGGAGAATTTTGAAGAATGAGAGAAAAACGTGTCTAAGAATGATTAAACTTAATTTTAAAAATCCAGCAACGAGTTGCTTAACTTTCCCGGCAACATTTGGTGGCTTCATCTGTTATGATATTTTATTAAAAACTTTTTATATTTTTAACTATTGTGAAATTGTAAAAAGCTTAATTTTGGTAGGAATTTTGAGGGTAGGAATGGGTTTTATGAAATATTTGTAAATGCTAACAAAAAGTAAAATTGTCATTAGGTCTGACCCTACTCGAAATAAGACACATGATTCCTTTTATCTCCCCAACCCTCGACCTTTAACAACCAACATTTAATAGCATCGATCTTCCTAATACACAATTTAAATTAAATTTAATTAATTACCATTTGCACCGAGCAATTTCTTTTTAAAGCCATTACTTTTTCGAATGACNATTATTTATAAATACGTATGTCAAGTTATATTTTTATTACTACGTAAAATATATTTAAGAGTTTACGACCACTGTGCTGGGTGAGACGTCGTTGAAACAAAAAAAGTTATGCTGCTTCTCGCCGCAAAGCGATTCGAGCGCCGGATGAACCATCTAGTGTAACTTAAAGAATAAATAAAAGAAAATAATAAAAATTAATATATTAATACTTTTTTCTTAAGTAATAATCATATTAAAGCATTAATCTAATGATTGATTTATTTTAAGATTAAATAAATGTACTTGACATGTGGCAACGTGATCTGTAGGAGCATATGGCGACTATGAATCGTTGGGAAAGCAAACCGTGTTTTATAGATCAACAACATGTGATCTGTAATAAAGGGAAAACAAGTATAATATGATCGTCGTGGGTGGATAAACAGAAGTGAAAGTCTGGAACACGAGATAAATAGGAAACTGAAAAGATTGCGAAGAACATGGACTGATATATTTGTTTACATTTGTGAGTTGGTGATTGTTGAATTTGAATGAAGTGATGAAATCGAGCGATATATTCGAATTGGTTCGTCCACAATGTGTTTATCTGACGAAGAGCGTGGAAACGGTGAAGGCAAGTGACATTACAGCATTAAGAAAAATTCTAGGATCCATAAATATTGAAAAGACGACATTTCAAGAGCTTCAGGAATATTTATTATTTCCTTTAAGATTAATTTTGAGAACAAATAAAAGGTTCGTATCTTTTTGAATTTCTCAAATGTTGTATCATAATCATATAATTTGGCGATTACTGTTAAGAATATACTGGTGTAACTATAGCAGATAACTCACGTTGAATTTATATTAAATATACTGTGTAAATTTAATAAGATTTTGATCTGTGTTATTTCATACCATTGTAAACAACTGTGTTATTCTTTACCATTGTAAACAAAAAATGTTTGCTGGTGGATGTTAATTAAGTACTATACAACCCTTTTTTGTAAAGATGTCTGACTAAATAATCCCAGATTCTGATGACTAAATAAGGCTTTGAAGCTCAAATTATTAGTAAGCAAGCCCTTCTCACTTTCAAAAATTATAATATTTTTGGGTAATTTGCTTTTATGTATTGTTTGTAGTGTAAAGTGAGTACAATGAGTCTAAGAAGTGAAAGTATACAGATCTTTATTGGATTTCAATTGTTATATTCAAATCATAAAGACATAATTTTACTAAATGAGATATATTATCAGATGGTTCCTATATATTATTTTTATCATAAGAGGGCAACAAACAATGGGAATTTATTTATTTCATTTTGTATGTACTTCATATTGCTTGCTATTGCTTGCAAACTGGAATATGATTTCTACACAAAGGATATTGACAAAATATCTTTTGTATAAAAATGATTGTAATGAGTGATTTCTGAGTTGAATTTGAAAATTGTTTTATCGTACATTCTGTTTCAAAGAAAAAGATCACCTTAAAGATAACATGCAGTAGTAATTAAATTCTACATGTGAAATGGTAGTGAAAAATGAAACATTATTACAATATTACAATATTAATGTACAAGCATACATTACTAAAAATCAGCTTCATCACAAATGTTGCATATAAAAGTTATAAAGCTATCTGACATTGATCAGTTGCATTAATTGCTAGACTGAGTTTTTCAATGTCTGATTTGTAACATGATGAAACTGTTCTTCTTTGATGCATCCTTGTGCTGTGATTGAATGATTATTTTTTATTTTTTTTCTTTATCATTCCACATGCATTATTTGACTATTACTACATACTGGCTTTAAGATGTATTAATTTTTTTACAACAAAGCATATATTGTTAAATTAGTTGTTTCTGAAACAGTTGTCAAATATATATATATATATATAGGCTATAATTTTTTTATTTTTAAATATTTTTATTTTTTATAATCTTATTTGTAATAAAAAAATTCAGTAAATTCAAATTTATTGTTTACTAAGTCATGTTATAAGAGAGACAAAACCTTTCACACTTTGTTTCTAGCAGTTTAATCCATAAGAACAAATGTTTTTGGCCATTACGTCATTGCTGATTACAAAGTTTAAAAGATATTGCTATTGTTAATTTTCTTTTAATTTTACCCAAGAGATGTGACCAACTATCAATGATAAGATAATTGTTTAAATTTTGAAAATAAAATAACAAGAAAAATACAGAAAATGCTTGACAGATTGTGACATGCTTGATGAGAGTGGATTGGCCTATTTAATTTAAGGGGTTGTTGAAGAGTGATTGCCATGCGGGGGAGAGTGAGTTTGCATCTCTGCTGTTAATACAATTTTCTTTGAGGGATTTCACAAAGGTTTCTAGTGTTTCAATTGTTATAAGTTTGTTGCTGTCAAGCACAGGTATAATAATCTTAGTCTCTTCCCATTTGGCTGTTATATTCGGTTTGCTTGCAAATTGGGCTAGGGTGGGATTAAACTTTTTGTTGTGTGTGTCGTATTTATGCTCGGCTATCCTTTTTGTAAGTGATCTGTTGGTTGAGCCTATGTATGTTAATTTCTTGTTCAGTTTAAATCTGTTGTCTTCTAGCGGAAATCCCAGGTCTTCTGGCTTCACTGCATTTATCTTTGGTGTTAGCCAGAAGTTTATATATCAGAGGATTGCATTTGTATGTAAGATCAGCTTTGACCTTCTTGGTTATGATTTTATATGTTTGGTTCATTCTAGGGTCAAAATCAACTACAATGCATTTACATTGCTGTTTTAGAGGTCTGGGATTAATCGCTTCTGTTTCTAAGCAACTATGTATTTTTTGCACTAGCTTATTGACAAGACTATGTCTTGTTTATAAAATCGTACTGCTTACTGTGTTACCAGCTTAGAGGTATGAAAGCGTACATGTCAGGAGTTGCAATTTGGCAGAGAGTATTAGGTGTCCAAATCATTTGCGCATAAAAAACCAGACTTGTAGGTACTCGGGGGACCGAGAAACGAGTCAAAATAAAATACACAATAGCGACTCTCTCTACAAACAGGCAAACTGAAGTCAGGTGGTGAGAGTACCACCCACAGTCATTCTAGGAAGTGGACTCTGACCCTAGGTCTGAACATGTAATATTTTCTTTGTTAAATAAAATATGTAATATAATTTTGTAAGTTTGGGAGTGCTTCAAATATGACATTAAAACAGGGTTTTGTTGTTACAAGTAGGTTTTTTAACATTATCTAGTATAGTAAATTTGTGGGACCGATAAAAATTTGACGTTATATTAAGGTTGTCATTACATCTGATGACATTGTATATAATTGGGTTAAACTGTATATTGTTTGTGCAAAATAAAAAAATAATTTCAGATGATACAATAGCCACAATTATTTTTTTCAAACACGGGAAATTTTTGTTACACATCAACAAAAATTCAACCTGGGCCGAGATGCAGTGGAGAGAAATTTCAAAACTGGATAGGTTAATTTCATCAAAAATGCATTATGGATGATCTTGTTGTCGTGGCTGGAGAAGTTTGAACAATTACGCCCAAAAGCAGTGATAACAAAGAAGATTGGAGAATGAGAACGAGACTGTCTTGAGCGTTAAAGTGATCCACTTAGTAGTGAGTCTCCGAGACATAGTCTTGTCCCAAATATGGCCTTGCCATTTTATTTGTGTATTAATTTACAGTTGTAACCATGGGCTATGGTGATGTGTTTGATGTGTTGAATTTCTTATAGCACGTCATTAATGTTAGAGCAATGGGTAAACGTTCTACGGATTAGAGCCCTGTAAGCTGATATTTTATAAGTAAATGGGTCGTTTGAGGTTGAGGGGATAAAGAAAGATTGAAGATTAGGCTTATGGTATACTTTTGTGGCTATACAACCATGTTTCAAGTATATACGGAGGTCAAGGAAATGGGCCATCTTATCACCTTGTTGGTCTAACTTTAATTTAAGTCCAAATGGGTTGTTATTGACAGCCTGCAGAACTCTGTCTATATCTGGCTTGGATCTCCAAATAATAAGAATTTCATCTACATAACACGTGTAAAGAATGATTTCTGTGTTGAAAGTTTTTAGGACTTGGCTATCTAATTTTCTAACTACTAATTTACAGAGGTCTCCAGATAGTGGGCTACCCATTGAAACCCCTCTTTTTTGAAGATAGATTTGCTGGTTGAAGGTAAAAAAGGAGATGTAGCACATTACATGGGCTAGCTCTAAAATCTGCTTGTGGTGTTTGAGCATGGATGGATTGAAAGAGGATGGATGGATTGAAAGAGGAAATCTCTAATAGTACAGAAGCACGGTTTCAATTTAATGGAAGGATACATAACTTCAAAATCTAGAACTGCAATAAATTCTTGATCTGTAAGAGCAATATTTTTTAATTTAGTGATGAGTTCATGAGTGTTCAAAATGGTGTACTTATATTCTTTCAAATGGTTTCTGAGGAGCTCATGTAAGCCTTCTCAATGGGTAGTGTTGGGGATCTTGATTTGTCCACAGTGGGCTGTATTTGTTTGCCTGGTTTATGGGTTTTAGCATAGCCAAATAGCCTCGGTATCTCAGATGATTGCGTCATGGCAGTTCCTAGTCATAGGTGTTTAGCTAGTGGTGAACTGGTAAATCTAGTAACCCTATTATGTCTAAATATCCTTCTATTTTTTGTATATCCTTCTTCTATTTCTATTTTTAATAGTTCTAGCTTTGTGTGCATGAAAGGAAAGTCGTGTTAGTTTAGTTGACAGAATCTTTTGGATAATTTGAATCTGCCTTTTAGAAATTGTTTCCACTAGTCTTAGATGTTAATAATATAATTTTGGCTACAATAATTTATTTTTTTGGAATTTAAAATTATCAGAATTATCAAATTATCAGATATTTTTCAACTGAAAAAGTGTTGCATTAGTCTTCAAACATCCCTTTATTTTTTCATACAATTTTAAAAAAATGCATTATTTTTATTATTATTANTAATTAATAATAAATTCATGCTTTTTAGTTAATTCAAAATTACTAATAAACTTAAAAAGATAAATTTTTTACAATTGGCATTATCTAATCTTTGCAATAATTTATAAAAATAATAATATTTCACTTAATTGTTTTCAACTAAAAAATGTAAAGTATAACAACAGATGCTAATAAAAATTATATAATTTTAATTATAAAATATATTAATTTATTTGTATATATTTTCTAGATCAGATGTAATCATTCAAGCATTAGATTTGATGAAATATGTATTTGATAATACAATTATTACCACAAGGAGTATGTTTGATGATGTTTTCATGCAACTTCTTATTTTAATAAGTTCTCCAAAGGAAAATATAGTAGGTTGGTATATACTTTAGAGATTTAATTTTCAAATTTATGAATGAAATTTTAGTAAACTGATAAAGAAAATTTTTATTATTTTAGTTCTTGATGTTTGTGAGGAGATGAAAGTATCAACATTAACATGTCTTCAGTCTTTAATTTCTCATATTTCTTTGCAGTGAGTAACTTATAGTTTATGCTTAGGTGCATATTGCTTGGTTTTAAAAATATTTTTATAGCTAATTATATTTATATTTGATATAATATTTTTCTGAAATTAAATATTTAACATGTTATAAAACTATTTTCTTAAATATTATTTTTGCTCTTTGAATATGGTTTGGATTTTATTATAAACTTTAAATCATACTTAGCCTATTACATCATTTAACTTTATTAGATTTGTGCAATTTTTATTATAATTTACTTTCTCATTTTGCATATGTTATCAAATTGTATAAAAAGTTTTCTATATTTCTCTAGTAATTGTAATTTTCTAGTATTTGCTGAAGTATTATTTATTCTGAATAAAATATATCTTATATATTTCATTTACAAATTTAAAATTTAGAAATCTATTATATTATATTAACAAAGATAAATAATTACAACTTCAAATTCTTAATATAAATAATATGGTACAATAAATGCAATACAGTAGATCATCGATTATCTGAATATTGATCAACCGAAAAGTCAATTAACTGAAAGCTTTCCAGCCAGCAAATTTAAATTTTCACTAGTGCTGTGGTGCTGCAATCTTTGGTTATGTTTTGGACTACTCCAATATTATTTTTGTTGGTGTGTGTGTTTTGCTGGAACACTGGTGCAACCATGAGAAGGTACTTAAGAATGTGCCAGGATTTGAACAAATTTTAACATGGTATAGGTTAATATATTTTTCGTACATAATCAGTTATCCAAAAAATCGATTTTCCAAACAACCCTAGTCCTCATTTGATTCAGATAATCAATGCTCTACTGTATTCCCATTTATTTCAATAGTAAATAAAATTTGACAATGAGAATATAAATTTTAAATAAAGAATAAACAGATAAAATTTATTCAACATAAACAAGAAAAACATAATTTAAAAAATTCATTTTATTTCAATGATTTATTGACTGATCTCATTGTTGGAAATAATGGAAATGAATTTTTTTTTTTTAAGTAACAGCTTCCAAATTCAAAGAAATTAAATGTTTTTATACATAGTAAAAACTGAAATGTCAAATTTGAAATAATCCCCATTGTGTCCCAGGCTGGGTGAGGGAAGAGGCCAAACAAATTCAGGACAGATTGCTATGAAAAATCCTAGGAAGTTGCTCATTCCTCACCCTGAATTTGATTCTGTGTTTCTCAGAGTTTAGGCTGATGCCTGTAACCATCTCAGGCATCCAGTCATGACAAATCCACTCAGTCTATACAATTTTTTTTTAACTAAGACATTCGCTTAAAATGACAATGTCAAAAATCACTTGGATCAGTTTTTTGTAAGCAATGATCAAAACTTTTATGAATGTCAAATCATGCTATTACCAGAAACCATTCAGGCATCCAGTCATTGGTTTAGATTATTATGTAAATGAATAGACACAAACACATGTCTATGCTTTATAATATAACATATATAGATAGACATATAAATTAATTTTATAAATAAAAAGAATATAATTATTAATTTTTAGGATTATGGAACACATATATAAATATGAGTTTTATCTTCCCTTGAGTCATGCTATCTATATATCATTACAAATGATTGAAAATGATTCTTCACGTGATATTAAAGTGAATGCTTTGGAAATAATTTTGAAGCTGTCAGAACCAAAAGGTATGCTTTTTACAAGAAATTTTTGTAGCTGATTCTAATAAAAAATTAATTTTTGAAAATTTAATAGACATAGGTCAGTTGCAGTCCTTAGCAGGCAATAAACTTGCTTCATTTCTGCCAGGAATTACTTCTTGTTTGACTAGAGTGGTTACAAGTGATTTCCATCAGGGCCATGTAAATATTTTTAAAAGTTATATTTAAATATTACATTAAACATACATACTTAATATTGGGTTGTTCAGAAAGTAATTTTGTATTTTTTTACCACTAGACGGATTAGTTGTATTTTTCTGCCATTTTCATTTTAAACCGTATTATAATTATATATTTTGACAGCTAGCATTTTAAGGCTTATTTGTAAAAAAGTTTGTTTGATTTTGTGCAATTGGTTATTTTTTGTGTCCCATCAAATATGCAAGATCGAAAGCAGCATTTTCAGCATATTTTGCTCTTTTATTACTGAAAAGGTAAGAATGCTATATTCAAGCGAGAAAAAAATTGTGCGACATGTATGGAGAAGATGTATTGACAGAATGACAGTGTCAAAACTGGTTTACAAAATTTTGTTCCGGCAATTTCAATATTGAAGATGCACCACGTTCTGGATGGCCAGTTGAAGCCAATGAAAACAAAATAAAGGTACTGATTAAAGCAAACTGCCGAATAACAACACGTGATATAACTAAGAGATTAAATTTGTCAAATTGAACTGTTTATGATTACTTGAAACAAATTGGTTTCATTTCAAAGTTTGATATGGGTTCCAGAGAATGCTCTCTTTGGTGGGATTTTAAGGAAATTTTTTTTTTGGAGCTTTTACCAGACAATTTAACAATTGATTCAAAAGTGTACTGCCATCGAGTAAACAAATTGAGTAATATCATCAAACAGAAAAGGAGGCCAGAACTGATCAACAAAACAGGTGTAGTGTTTTACTACAATAATGTCAAATTTCACACAAGTTTGGTAACTCCTCAGAAATTGTTATAACTTAGATGGAATGTGCTATCACACCAAAGGTATTGGCCAGATCCAGCACATTCAAATTATTACTTGTTCTGGTCTATACAAATTTTTTTTAACTAAGACATTCACTTGAAATGACAATGTCAAAAATCACTTGGATCAGTTTTTTGTAAGCAATGATCAAAACTTTTATGAATGTCAAATCATGCTATTACCAGAAACAATGACAACAGGTATTTCACCAAAATGGTCGATATATAATTCAATAAAATATTTATTTATTATAAAAATATTGTTTTTCTTCCATGGAAAAAAAAATGAACTTACTTTCCGAGCAACCCAATATAAATGTATATTTCAGAATATAATCAAACAAACCATTTTGCAATGTTATCATTTGAGATTCTTTTCCTGTGCCATAAGGATAACCTCTGCTCAATCCGGGTGTTTGACCTGTAATGATATGTTTTTTCATTACTTTTCATTGTATTATTTATTTTTGTTAATGTCCAATTTTATTTTAACATAATGTCCAATTTCACAATATAAAATTTTTATATTTTATTCTATCTTTTACAAACCTTCTGAAGTAACATGTTGTCCTATTGCCCTTGCTCCTCCATGACTATTTTCTTCAAACTGTATTTCAGATATAATGATATTATCTTCAAGCACTGATCCACATTGTGTACAAACTGCATCTCCTCTTCCAGGATCAGTATCTATTTCATTACAACCGCAATGCTGACAATTTCTAGTAGACATACTGATATTTTCCAAAAACTAACAAATACACAATTTTAATCTAAAATTAAACAATACATATATGTGTAAAAAAAGTGTTCTACTATATAACACTCAAAGTTTTAAATATTTTTTGTTTATTCAAAATCATTAAAAATATACATTTACTATAAAGAGGAAAAAAAAACTAATTTGATGCAATATATTGAGTTTTATTAAGTATTTGTGTTTCTCTAAATTATTTTCAGTTTAGGGAAAAGACAATACTGTATTTTACAGACTATAAGACGCTACGGCCTCTAAGATGCACCTTAATTTTTAAGCAATTTTTTAAAAATATATTATTTTTACTATTTTTACTGCCTAAATTCAATCCTTTTATACGGATTGAAGCAAATGCTGATCCACCAATCAACACTTAGTAGCACTATCGGACGCCCGCTGATCATACGATGGTCGCACGATGATCGCTGGTCAATCTGTGGTCATGGATTCAGAACCATGACCACAGATTATAGTACGTATAATACAGTAATTACTGAATTTAATAAAATCAGAATAACCATTTATGTCTATTCTTTCATCATATTTCAATTACATTTATTAAAACAATAAATTTTTCATTAGCAGCTCTAATGTTTTCTCCAAAATCAATAAAAAAATATATGACTGAATGCAGTCTGGGACCAGTATAGCATAATTTTACTTATTGAAATTTATGAACTTATTTCTTTTCCCCCATTTTTGACTCTCCATCCTGTGGGCACTAAGTTTTTTTCGATGCCCATCATCAGTTCAGCCAGGCCCACAAGCATAATTGACAGGTGGAGAATGAGAACTAACATATGGGAGACAAACCACCTACGAAAGGGGGACCTTATGAAGAGTATTCTTTATTCACAAAAAAGTTTAAATGTAAGTTTAATTTCAATTGGAGAAAATATTTCTTTGTGAGATAATTTTAAATGTAAAAATATTTAATAATGAAATATATTTAACAGTGAATTAAAATATGATGTATTTTCAATTGTCATGCTACGGTATATCCCGGGAAGTAATGGTATGTTTCTAACTATAATAATATAGAATACTGTGTGATATAAGAAACATATCTCTGTTTTTATTACGTAGCCGACAGAAGAGGGGCTTGAGCCCAGAACGCGTCTCGGCAAATAAAAAATAAAAGTTGATGACAGAATTGCCTAGTGTCTGTATAAGCACCTAATAGTGATAACAAATTATTCAAATAAAGGAAGACACAGTTTCAGAATATATTACAACAAATAATAATAATAAAAGGATAAAAGATCAACACATAACATAATTAAAAAATTACCTATTCTGACAGCATTCGTGATATGACGAACAGTTTTAAAATATCCAGAGTATTTCGATTTTCAAATTCACATAGGTTAGTAAAGCATGGGAAGATGTATACTGTATAAGCTAAATTATGACCTTATCAAGGAAAAATTAAGGTTTCATAATATCGTTTATATCGCATTATGTTATCTTATTACGTTCATATCCAACAACGTAGTCTTAATTAACTAAGAACAACCGAAACATCCGTCATTCTATCAACCATATTTAATACAGCGTGCTATTCAGTGTTGCCAGATGGGAAAGCTTCTTCTTCTCTTCCTCACGGTTTACATTGAGATACAGTATTAAAAAGCTGTTTATATCGTATTTTATCGTAATACATTATTATGATTTTTATTTGATTGTATAGAAAAATATAAAGTGAAAACAAATTATAAACTGAAACAAAATTAAAGTTTTCGTTAAAATCTTCAATTCCAGTTCTTCCCTGGTAATTTTGTATTCAGCATATTTTTGATTTTGCACTTCGAAC